CAGCATGTAGGGGCCATAATATATTCCCAATGGCGACTGCAATGTAAGCGTGCTCAATCTCTGATGGCAGGTAGAGATTATCGAACAATTGTATGGTTCTCGATTTTCGAGCAGCTAACGATCATGTAAGCTGCGAAGCTCTCTTATGAATTGTTTGGAATCCGTTTGCATTGATTCACACAAAGGAGTTTGGCAACTTTTGACAGCTCACCTGCTTTTACTTAAAACGTGGTTGTTCGATATAGAAACTCATTAATTATACATCGTGGAGGGTGCTAGTCGGTTGAATTGGGGATTTTGTAAACAGTTCTGTGCATGAAGACTTTGCTGTAAGTGGTGGCCTGCAAATTATCAGGTTGGTAGTGGTTATCATGGAATTCCCGTATGGAAGGTCGAGATCACCAATGATCGGCGCGAAATTCCACTTACTGTTTTTCTTCATTGTCCTTCCACTGCCTCAATAACTGTTACGCGAACAGACTAAATGGGTTCTCGGTTAGATGCAACGACAATTTATCGCACTGCCAATGAGAGCTTTGTGCCGACTAAAGAGCGTTCGGCTGTTTAAATTGCAGGAACAAAAGAGCATGCTTTTATAACTTTTGTGGATGCTTAGTTGCGTGTAGGCGAATGTTTCAACAGGAAATATTGTCGACACTTTGTTCTTCAAACGGACCACTTAATGTTTCCTAAGAACCAACGAGCGATAAGCGATGAGTCAGGGACGTAGGGCTTTGTAGATTTATTCCTGGTTATGGCTCAGTTGCAAAACGCCTTTCACTTAAAGCCTCGAGATGAGACGTGCAAGTTTTGTGTTCTTCACTGTCGTAACCATCTCCGTCAACTTCATTGCCACTAGATTACGCTCCTTGAATGCCACTCGAGCAGGTCACTAGGTATTCACAGCAATCCTGAAACGAAGTTCTCCGCATGCACCTTTGTCATCTGTTTGCAGGTCGTAGAATCAGTAAACAAACTGAGTTTCTTTTCACTGTCCTTAAGCCATTCTTGTTTTTTCGTTCTGTGTGACGCCGCCGGGTGCATGTCATGTTTCAGGCACGTTTGATGTGTTGTTTTGGTAACAATAACAGGATGCGTCTCTTAATTACTTAAGGTTTGGGCGGACCAAGCATGGTATGGATGTTGTATCCAGTGTTTGTGCCAACCTCTGCTATGTAACCCAGGATAAACAGATTTAGCATGAAGCATTCGGAGGCCTCACTGTGCTTAGTAATCACTGAGACTCGATGCCACGACTCCATTCTTCACAGTGCAAGTTTGGCCTATTTGTTCACCCTAACGGAGGTCTTCTGCGACTGCAATTATTACATTAGGATGAAGGTGATCCAATGGCACTCATTTCTGATTAGCAACCCTGGGAGGCATATGTGCAACCGGTAGCAAGGAAAATAAATTAACGCAGTTATCTGTTGCATGTACAACAGTGCGCACCCAGGCAGCCCTTCTAGCGTGCCCACCAAGCGTGCTTATAAAAACTGGGGGTCATTTTACGTGATGTTAATAAACAACCTTCGCCTTCCATTTCGATCATTTGACCAATAAAAAAGTAAACACGAGTTTTCTCTTTGGATCAACATACCTTCTAATTCATTAAACCTGTAAATCAAGATTCTCTGAATTTAATTGCCCTTTCTCCTCCACATTTCATACACTCCTAGGCTTTAGTTTTCCATAAATATTCACTTTCCCTTATAGTCTTTTCCTTTTACCTTCGTGAAAGCCTATAGTGGAGGCTGAGGTCATTTGCACGCCCATAACCTCTAGCCGTGACGTGAACCCAACTTCTTCCCACCTTGTGATGTGGGCTCCTATCACGTGAGTGACTAATCTCTCACGTGGGTTTCCGTGTTAAAAGTTAGCTCCCGGTCACGTGCAAATTATCGATTTTGGAGAGAATAGAAAACAGGGTAACACGATTCGCAGCATGTGGAGCTGCGTAAAACTGCAATGCATTTGTTTAAGCCGCTAATTATATGCCTCTTAGGAGTGGTTTTGCCATCCCCACCTATCGTTTGCCAGACTGTAAAAATGGTTATCCAGCCGTGCTTTGGAGTAAACAGCCCCATTCACAAGACTCGACTCAAACCATTGTACTCTGACGCTGCCTACTCCCTTCGCACGGACGCTAATGGTGTTGCTCTCACTGACGAGGTCAAAACTAAACCCAAAAAGCAGGAAGCCTGTGCCTTCGCCCTCGCCATTTCCAGCCACCCCCAGTACCAATTCGTCACGGTCTACATGAAACGGGCACAATTGAACATACGAGGAGGCGGGACTGGTAAAGCAACATTAGTTTTTATGGGGAATTCACAGCCCGGCGTTCACCTGTCCTCGGTTGTTTTTGACAGCAGGTCATCAGCGAGACAAAGCACTTACGTGAACTCATACTCCTGGCCGAAGAATTCTACCCTAGTGTATATTTTATTAATGCATGATTTTATTGGAAACAGAAGTGGCCTGGCCACCTTCCATTTGGAAATCTCGCTCACGCCAACGTTTTTGTGTGTGCTTACTCAGTTCCAGGCCCAAGGCTCTTACACAAACCTTCTTAACCCCTACGAATTAAGTTGGAGGAGCATAAGTGAGATGTTTCACCCTGGTTGGCTGGTCTGCACATTACCTTGGGCCGCCAGTGAAGTCGGATTAAGATCACCCCACAGATTCGTTGCTTATTGTGTCGACTATCGACTGAGCTGTGACCACGTTGTCAACTGTCCTCGAAACTCAAGGACTGCGATCAGGGATGGCCTTAGCTCTGTCTTCACGACTAGTGCTGATGAAAGCTCAAGGGGTCTAGTGTGCTATAGCCCTTCTGTCAACTGGCTGTTGGTAGCAATAGTTTTATTTAGCATAATTAATACTGGACTATTGTTTGCAATTACTTACTTGGGATTGTTGAGACGTTATTCACCGATTCGATTTCTACGACTTCAGTCGGTTTGCATTCGCTACGGGTGCTGCTGTTTACCTGCCACCTGGCGCACTCAATTTGGTGGCGGTGTCCCAATTTTCCGTCGAAATTCCATCAGTAGCAGCGACTCCGTGATACCCTGGAGCCCTCCCACTTACGAGAGCGTAGAGCGAGCGGACACTGCAAACCTTGTGGGTGCTCGACAGACGCGTCAGTTCCGTTGGCGTCGTCAAAAGCCAGTTGCCTTCGCTGAATCCGGTCACCATCTGCCACCATCGTATACAGACGAAAATGAAGAGATTAGCGTTCTCCCCGAGGGAATAATCCAAAAGATGAGGAGTCTGCGAAAATCCCCCTCTAGACTCAGTGAGCGCGTCTGTAAACCCCCAAGACTAAAACCATTGTCACAGCGCGCACGTCAGACGGTCCATCGCACGACTCTCAGACAAGAGTTGAGATTTGTCTTGAGGCAGGCTGTCTCACGAACCAGAGCCTTAATAAACTCAGGTTTCCGGGTTATGCGAGTTCATCCAGCAAACCCTTCTACGACAACTCCAGAACAGAACGAGGCTGGTGTGTTAAGTGATGGTGTAGAGGGAAGTTCAGTACCACATTTGGCGCTGCCGAACTACTCTGAATTTATGAGCGGCGACTTCCCCAGGTACCCTGCTGTGGTACAGCTTGACGACCTAGGCCCACCCCCCTCGTCTCCCACTGGAATCTCCCCAAGGCCAAACCGAAGGAGAAATAGAAGGCGCACACGTTGCATGCGCTTTTGACGTGTTATTAGTCTGAAGTCATCAGGTGTCCCCACGACCAACGTTTTTGTCTGCTTTGAAATTTAATTTCTCCTATATACCATCTTGCTGAATTCTGCATACACTTCTAAATTGCCTCATTTCCCTATAATCGGAATGTCATTTGAAGAAAATGTCATGACAATTTGCCACAATAGGACCACATTATGCAAATATATGTGCTCGTTAGATACCCTGTACAAAGTGCTTAGCATTCGCTCGCATCCGCAGCACTCGAGAGCTACTGGTCGCTTTCATTTCGCCGTCCTAGTGTATTTCGACCCAGTTGATTAGATCTTCTCAACCATCAAACTACCTCTTCATGATATTCCATGGAATTCAAGTATCACGGTATTATTCACTGTGCTCAGATTAGGTAAGTTAGGGATCGGATGTTTTGATTGGCGTCACATGAGTTTCGTTGGACAGCTTCACATCAAGATTGACATAGGTACACCGGTCTATCGGTTTTATGTTCTGACATGGGGGTGTTTCTGAACATAGAGGTACTAATTGGAGCCCACTTGATTCTCCACTTGGCTAAGGAAGCTGTTTTGTCCCGATTTGCGCAGTGATGAGTAGAGTTTAGCTTTTGCCAAATCTAGTTATTTAATAAGGCTGTGTTCTCGAATGTATTGGTTGAACCACGTGCTACAGTTTACACTCGATATTTAGACACTGAGAAACTGTACAGAAATGGATATTTGATTGAATTTACGGTGATTGATAATAAAAGCGGTAACGAAATCGTAGCCTTTCGTTTGGATGTTTTGGAAGGCTGTCAGTCAGGCAGAATAAAGCGTTTTTGAGCCTGTAAGTAGCAAGCCTTCTTCGGAAACCTTTAAGCACTCTCGCAGACGCTAATCCACTCTACAGTAACGGCGTTGTGGGCTGCCGCAATACTGAAACCCAATAGCAAGCATCATCAGCCCACTGGGTGACAGTTATCTAATGGACCCAGCCATGTTAGATTAGGTGATCATAAGCTGAGAATTAAAACGAAATGACGTCACCGAAGCGCTTAATCCAACAACCAGCTTTCGCTAACTGTTACCGAATCAAACCAGAATGCGATAAACCGCAAGTACGATGGCAATGTGAAAATTTAAATCCCCAAGTCGATAAATAAGAATGTTTCTACGTTGAGGTTTACTGTTAGAAGCTGCACTCAAATAATTTTTTTCAAGAATCTCTTAATTTTACCAAATTGCTATCCCTGCACACATTAATCGTGATAGGGGATCTATGACGAAAACACAGTTTTTTTAATAAAATATGGTCTTACGACAGGAAGTTATTTCAAATGGCGTCAGGACTTTTAGGGACACTATAAGTCATAATGCACTTATCCTTAATGATGCCCACCCTTAGGATTTTCTATGCTACCGCCCATCCACGTATAATTTATTTGTCGAGTTGTTGAATGATCATCCAGAACGAACCACATTCTTGAGGAAATTAAGTTACCTATGCGGCTTTCCTTAGTGAGAAGTAGTCCGAAGAAAAGCAACCAAGTCAGTGTATGCGGCATCTTCTTTGATTTTGTCGCATAGGATGGAGAAGGCCAGTGTAATGCATGCCCTGCGTTTCAAGAATTCCGCACAACTCGGTGTCAGCGTACTAGAAAGCGTCGCCGGAAAATCCCAGAGGCTATTCCGTATGGTTGTAGAATGGGCGATTGAGCAGATTGGTATGTTTAGGTCTGAGCTGTGGTATGATCGAGAATCCCCAATTCATTACCAGATGAATAAGTCCTCTACTTCGCCACGAGCATCACCCACTGTGATAGTTGATAAAAGATCATTCTGGTGCAGTTACTACGTTGACTACAGCGAGGTTAGCGAAAGTAGGGATGAAGCTTCCAGCATCTTCTCGTCGCTCAGTGACAAGCCGGGATCAACTCGGATTTCATCTCGAGTCCTTTGGACTTTCTACTGCCTCAGCTACTTTTCCGGAGTCTTGTGAATTGTATCCTTCTAAGCATAGATCCCGAAGTGTGTTCGGCTCATGTGGACGATGCTGGGCGACCTAATGCCAAGAGTTGCAAATGCAGATAGAAAGGCAGAAAGTCAGTGTGTGTTTAACTCTTTACTTCGCAGTTCTTTACTACCTGCTTCATTAGCCACATTCTAAATCTATAAGTTGGACTAATATAACCCCACTGATTCGTTTCATATCATGACGATTATCAACAGAGTTATGACCACGTTGACAGCGATCAGCGATGGCTTCAGCCCAGTCTCCACATCTAGTGATGATGAAAACTCAAGAGAGTTTGTTTGCAATAACGCCTCTGTCAAGTGGCATAATTAATTTGCACTGCTGCGGCATAATATGACCCCAAGAATGAGGCGACAAAGAATACTACAGATGACGGAGTTATAGCCATTTACTCGGTTAACAAGAATAGAGACGTGTTTTTGGGTGTGCATTTATACTTCATTGGTGTGAACAGCGTGTGTCACGGTTGTGTTAACAAGGCGGACTAGCAGGGCTTATTTCAACACTTAATGATTATCCAAAATCAAACGCTGAGGTGATCGGGGCTAACAGAGATACAGGGCTACGTGTTTCAGCATGGGGTCCGCAAGGGTGAGAAAACGTTGGAGTCGATCACGTGTAAACTGCGTGATAGTTTACAATCCTCAGGATTCATCACAGCTTTCCCTCATATTGAGAGGATGCGACATCCCTCTCTAAGCAAATTAGCTTGGATATTGTGCGCAAATGTGCTTGATTGTCGGTCTTCGTGGCTTGGTGCTTCACTAATAACTGTTGCAGAGTAATGAACTAGGCCAGATGGTGGTAAAACGTTTTCTTCCAGTAGCGTTTCTAAAATGTTTATCGGAGGTGGTGTCTAGAACCAAGGCAGGGCAAACGAGAGACGAGACGAACCACTCAAGAAGAAAAACCTAGGCTTGCTGTGCTAGATTAGAGTCGAGAATGTCGAGTTGAGCTAGACGGGAGTAAGTTCTTGACCAAGACCCTGTTGGGTGCGTCTGAATATTGATTTTAGTTCCTGAAGGGTAGCTGAAAAGGTTTTCGTAAAGCGAAAGGAGATTAATGGTTTCCTGTTGATCGAAGAGGAGTGAGAAGTCCCTGTTCAAAAGGGCTTAAGCGGTTGACTGTTTATGTTCAGGAAGTCAAGCCAATGTAGGCGTCTGTCGTTGCTTGTATTTGTAACCGTCGCTTTACAACCAAAAAAGGAGAGAAGCAATGATTTTTCCACTATGCTTAATCATCAGTTATGTGAAGGAGTTGTTAGATGATGGCGAAAGCGTTCAACCATGCCATTTGATTACGGAAAGTACATAGTTGTCGGAAGGTGATTTTTTCCCCAGAGTTTGATGAGGTTCTGGAACAGGGTGGACTGGAATTGCACTCTGTTATCTGTGATGATGGTGCAGGGAAAGCCAAAAAGGGAAACTCACTTTTCGACAAAGGTTTTGCTCCTGTTGCGTCTTGTCATCAGGTAAAGCGATCGACTCAAGTAAGTAGAAAAGAGGGGCTAGTGGATAGTGTCAAAGGCCCTGTAATTCCGATGTGGACGGGATCAAATAGAGCCTCAGGGATGTGAACTATGCCAAGGGAGCTCTTTTATGTCGACCAACGGAATCAAGAGTCCATTGTTGAATTTCGCTGGCCAAGCGCAGTTTCATGGTATTAACTTCTTTGTAGCTCGTTTGCCAAACCGAGCGGTACCGTCGAGGAGCTTGAAAATATGGATAGAAGAAGAACTGGAACTGGACCAATCTTAGTCCAGACTGAATCGAATCTTTGAAATCCACCTGAGTTGGGGTTTTGATAGTATCGATATAAAAAGAAGAAACTATCGGAAGTGTCAGGAATGTTTGACCCCAAGACGGATTGCTAGCTGTCCGTGGCCGAAAGTGCTGTGATGCTTTTGAGCATCATAAAATTGTTGTTCAGCTAATGGGCCAGCTACTTAAATGAATGAGTAGGCGATCTGACGTTGAATTTGAGGCCGAAAAACAGACCAAAAAGATTGAGAACACCAGCGAATGTGATTTAGATGAGCCACTACTACAGTCGTGGAAACCCAGCGAAATTGACGTCAGAGGCCGAAGTTAAGCATAAGAGATTTCGACTCGCTGGTATAAACTGATGGACAATTGACTGCTGAGAAAAATCACAAAAATGAACAGGACTGTTGTTTAAAGGTCACGGGAAGGGCAAAATATACATCGGCTTTCCATTTGATCAAGATTAGCAGTACTAGATGGCAGATAATGGGGATATATGCGGCGGTTTATTTCCTCCTCAGCATTTGATGCCGATCTATCGCTGACCGGGTAAATAAGTATAAATTTGGATAAAAACACAGAGGCCTACAATGACGGGCACAAAATTCCAAACTTTTTGTGGGGTTTCCGAAAGCCTTGGGGCTTGGGGAGTAATGAGAAGCAACAACAAGACCTCAAAAAGTTTTGCCTAAATTACTAAACATTTCAGTCCATAAAGTTATTAACATTCAAGTTGTTGAATACTAGTTATACCTGGTCTAAGCATTATTTCGAAATGTTTGACCTCCCAATGAGTTGGCTCGAAAAGAATTTGATTTACGGCAGAACCCTGGATTAAATAACGCATAGACTCATATTTCGATATGTGAAAATTTATTTAATAAGAAATCATGGCAATTTGTCACAATGGGGCCAAATCGTGCAAATATGTATGCTCGTTAGATACCCTGCACAAAGTGCTTGGCATTCGCATTCATCAACATACTTGACATAATTAATGCGAGCTTCGGCAGCACTCGAAAGCTACTGGTCATTTTACTTTTACCTTCCTAGTGCATTTTGACCAGTTGATTAGATCTTATCAACCATTAGGCTGCCTCTTCATAGCATTCCATGTAATTCAAATATCAGATTACGTTAGTAAAGGATCGGATGTTTTGAGTGGCGTAACATGAATTTCGTTGGACTGCTTCATATCATGATTGTCACAGGTACACCGGTCTAGCAGTTTTATGTTCTGACATGGGGGTGTTTCTGAACACAGAAGTACTAATTGGAGCACACTTGATTCTCCACTTGGCTAAGGAAGGCGTTTTGTCATGATTTGCGCAGAGATGAGTAGACCTTAGCTGTTGTCACAACCCGTCACTGAAATTGTGCGTTTTGTTTTTATTATGAAATCGGGGCCTAATTCATCAGCCAATATATGAAAAAAATTATTTTAAAAAATAACTTTGTTTGATTGTTAACCCACTATAAATTAGTGCTGCAACCTTGGCACTTTATCAAATTCATTTGCGATGTCCCAAGTGTCTGTTGTTGTTGGTGCGCAGTGGGGCGATGAAGGGAAAGGAAGAGTTGTGGACCTTTTGTCAATGAATTGTGATGTAGTTTGCAGATGTCAAGGTGGCAGCAATGCTGGTTAGTACAAACGATGATTCTATTACCCTTTCAGGACACACCGTTATCACCAATGGAACACAGTATTATTTCCGTCTAATTCCATGTGGAATTCTAAAAACTGACACTATGTGCATTATAGGAAATGGGGTCGTTATTAGTTTTACGGACTTTTTCAATGTATGCCATGTTTCATCCTAACTCGATTTCCAGGAAATGGATATTCTCATTAAACAGGGTATTCCAGATATCGAAGGACGTGTACGGATATCTGAAAACGCTCATATCGTTTTTGACATCCACCGACAAGTTGATCAGCTGGAGGAAAGTGCTAGGGAAGAACATCGACTTGGCAATACCAAACGCGGAATCGGCCCAACTTACGCTTCAAAAGTTTCGCGCAGAGGTTTACGTGTTGGTGAATTAGTAGGCGATTGGAGTTGCTTCTGCGAGCGCTATCAATC